GCCCTGAGAAGCGGGCAGTATTCGAGTAGATTATTGGGGCTTTTCAGGCCCGTTTCTCTCTTGACCAATTAAGTGCATTCACCTGCCCTGAGAAGCGGGTTGAATTCACGTAGTTTTGTTGGGGCTTATCAAGGTCCCTTCTGTTCTGTTTCGTTAAGTACACAATGTGCCCCAAGCAGCGGGCTGAATACATGCGAATAGCACGGGCCTGATATGTCCGTCTTCCCTTCTGTATAGTTAAGCGCATTAATCTGGCCAGAGGGGTGGGGCGAATATAAGCAGAAATAGGGGTTCGGAATGCCGAGGATATCTTGTGAAACTGGGAGCATAGATCAGACCTGCGGGGTAAGGCTGCGTACCTGAAGATTCGAGTTTGGCGTGATCGAGCATCCTCTTTTGAATGTTAGCGACGAGGGAGAACAACGGGATAAAGAGAGAAAGGGAACAATGCGCTAAAAGTCATCTATTAAACTCTTTGTCGCGCACTTTTGTCCGTCCTCCTGCCGAGTCTTCAGACTTAATGTAGTGTGAACATGCTAAACCGACAGTTGAAAGCGCAAACTGGTTGTTGTGTCCCCCACTGGACTAATGAGCAGACTACTCAAACTTATCACATTGAGGATATGAAGGTCTTTCGGTGGAGTTTCTGAACTGCCTGCTGAATCAGTTCGATGATCTGTTGAGTCGTTCGTTTGAACTTGTTGAAATAAGAACTCGTTGCACTGACTGTTGGCTGATCCGATTTGTTGTAAGGTGATCTTGCGAATTTACCAAAAGGAAAATAAGTAAAACGGAAAATAGGGAATGAAACAGTTCATCATAGATCCCTTCAGCCTGCTGGTCGCTGAAGACCTCGGAAGCGGGCGTGGCGAGTGACAGGTGTCATTGCCCCTGGCTTCGGTGGAAGGTAGGTCCCCCTTCCCGGGTTTCCTCACAACTTTTGGCGCCGTTGCCGGGGAGGGGATTGCATCCCTAAGGCTGCAGCCTTCCCCAATCAATGGGGGTGCGCGGGCTGATTAGTCGAAGTACTAATTAGTTCGTTTTCTTGATTAACTCTGTTTTTTATATTTTTTTGATTAGTTTTTTTTAGGTACCTCGTAATCCGCGCATGTTATCGCGAAGAACGCAGAGGCCTAAGTTTGACGTCTCGACGAGGGGAACGTTATGAGACGTTTCTTGCTGAAATCTAACGGTCAGATTTTGCGATAACGAATTTTCTGTGAAAATCAAATTATTAATTCGGAATTTCCAGTTTTTTTTTTTTTAATTTTTGCGGGAAATTGGTACATTTTCTTGAGATAACTTCTGGTACCAAATCTACTCAGTTTATGTTTCCCGTCGCTTTGATACCTTGGACGGGACAAAGGGAGGTGGTTAGAGGCGAGAACGGTAAGTAACAGCAAAGAGAAAAAGAAGCAAAACAAAAATTAAATATTTAATTTTTTAAAAACTTTTGTGTAAAATACCATAAAACGGATTAATAAAAAGTGTTCCGTCAAAGTTTTTGAAAATTTTGAGTTTAGTTGATGGGAAAATTTTGGGACAGAACGAGTTTTGGAAGAGAGCGTGCGGTTGTGTGCGAAGCCCCCAAAATCCTAGTAGGTAAACCCTAATTAGGGGAACCCCTAATTAAGGGAAGTCTTATCCAGGGTTTTGGGGCGGATAACAACCTCGAAGAGGAAGGATAATATACGGGGAATATTTTGCCTTTTTACTTCTTCGGCCTTTTTCTTTTTGAAAAATTAAATTAAAGAAAATATTAAAAATAACGAAAAAGGATTAATTAAATTTTGTTTTTTTTTTAAATTTTGACGTTTTTCCTTTTGGGTTGTTGAGCTAGGGGCGGAAGCCCCGAACCCCATCCCAACGGGGGGAGGGAAAATGCTGCCCAATTTTCGAGAAAATTTGTAAAATATTTCGAATTAATTAGGAAATAATGAGAGAAAATACTCAAAAATTGGTTAAAAATTTCCTTGATATTTTTTCCCTTTTGCTATATTCCTTCGGCGGCTATTTTGAGGCCTTCGGCCACACCCCATCCCCACGGGGGGAGGCGAAGTGCTGCCAAAATTTTCGCGGACCTCTTGAGGTCGAGCAATTCTGCCTAAAGACATGTACAAGGGATATAAGTGTATGTAAAATAAGAAAGGGGGTGTATCTTATGTAAATGTAATTTTTGTAAATTAAATACAGTTAAATACAGGAAAATATTGGCGGAAAGGGAAACGCATTTGCCGCGCTGCTCTCTAGGGGAAGCTTTGCATGCGTCTAGGCAGTGGTCGAGGGCCAGTGGGTTTCTAGAAGGTAAAAGTATTTTTTATTTATTTAAATTCATTAAAATTCCTTGAAAATAGCAACATGGCTTAGAATAATAGAGGGAAGAAGGTCACGGCCTTCTAATTTTGTTTCTTAGATAGGGGAGGACATCTGTACTCCTGAGGGGGGACCGGAGCAATCGGAGGCAGCGTTCCCTCGAACAGAGCACACGCCTTCTATCCGAGGGAACCCGACTATAGGGCCTGTTGCCTTGTTTAGAGTCCGACTCCGCCCTGTAGCACCATAGGGGACCTTTGGATAGCAAGGACATAGATCGACAGCGTGATACCGGGGCTCCCAACGAAGGGAGGCGAAGCGTTGCCGAAATTTCCTTCGAATCGACAAGGCTTCTTCTACTATCTTTCACTTTTTCTACCCCTCCCTCTTGCTGCGTTCTCTCTAGTCATTGGTTGGATGTGGCCGCAAGCGCAAGTGGAGGTCTATGAGGCCACCATCGACTGGGACTTGGAGCCCCCTGAACTCATAGAGGGGGATCTGGTGGAGCTCACGATCCCCGGACGCAGCGTTCGACAAGTTGACGGACAGTTTGCGTGGAGGTCCATAATCTTGTCCGAGGACGTGTGGCTTTGGACGCACAGAGAGCACCGGCCTGGGCAAGGAGTGGGCGTAGTGAGAACCTACTTGTACTTAGGACCGGGCGCCGTCAAGGAGGCCGTGGTAGGGCTCGCGACGACAGGGACTAGTGGCGCGATTAGCAGGGCATTATGCTACCTGAGAGACGAGGTAGCTGCCTTCCGAGCGGAGGACTCGAGCGATCCGCTGACCCTATTTCACAGGCGCCCTCCTCTTGATATCACGGGCGGGTGGTAGCACGGGACGGGTTTTTCCCGTACAGCGTCGGAGTCTGCAGGCAATAGTTCCGGCGTTCGTAGTAGAGAGCGTCTTTGGAGGTATTGATGGAGTGGTCGAGACATACCTAGCTTATCAGGATCTCAAGATCCTCGCGAGAGCGCCCGACGACCTCGACTACCTCTGTTATTCCCTTGCGACCGGTGGGCCTCGTTGGGGTGACGAGAGGGTTCAACTTATAGAGCTGATCCAATCGATAGACGACGAGTGGCCCCAGTCTCTGTGTGTATGGGATTGGTTAGACCGTGAGCTCCGGGCAGGCCCCGAGTACGTGACCTGCATCGGGCGGCTCTTCTCAGACGATTGGGGGAGCTGGTGGAGTGAGGACGCCGGACGACCGCTGATATACGGTCATCAGTTGGCGGAGTACTACCAAGCCGTAGGACAGGCGCCATACCGCGTCGAGGACGAGTTTGACGACGAGGGTTGGGAGAGAGAGGACGACGAGGATGCCTGGGAGCCAGATTGGGTCGACCCAGAGGGTGAGGTTGACGAGGAGGAGATCGACGTTACGGACACCCACTTCCCCAGGATAGGAGTAGCAGTTCGGACATAGGAGCGGACTTAGCGTCAGATTTCGGCCGATAGCGGAGAGCGGATCGATGGTAGAGCAGGTCAGTGGAGTAGAGCTTCAGATCGACGTGACCCAAAACATGATAGTACTTTTACCTTGACAGGATTTCTGATACCAACAATTATAGATACTCTACAATCTGACGCCAAATGGCCTAGGCCTCCAGAGACAGTAGCGCCAGGGAGGGTGGCGCTAGATCTGCCGGCCAGAGGGGTTTTCACGGATGCGATAGAGAGTCGATGGTCATCGACGGTGTTGGGGCCAGACGTGCACTTGTGGACGTATGCCATCGCGACGTTTGAGCTAGACAGTCAGAGGTGGCGACGACCAGGCACGACTAGTATAGAGGTAGTGGGCCACATTTACTACTCGCGGGAGGTGCTAGCCACAGTCTATTTTCACGGCATCGTGCACGATCATTGGCGAGAGGAGCAGAGCGCGAGGAGGATTTTACTGGCCCGAGCGGACTCCGCGCGGGGCGAGGTAGAGCGGCTGCATGGGGGTGTTCGGAGAGTGACGACGACCTTGAGGATTGGAGGACACTTCCCGTATCCTAGCAATCGACTGCGTGTGACACTTCTGTGCTTCGTGGCGGAGGAGCTCTGGGGACTTAGGCGTCTGGGTGAGATCTACTTTGCGGCTCTTGACTTGGACGGCCTTTGCCGAGGGTACGCTGATAGGGATTGGGTGTTGTATGCGCAGTTTGTAGCGGGGCCGCTTGTAGGCGAGCGAGGGCTCCAGTTGATTGAGTTCCTGCGGGCCATAGTACCTCCTGGGAGCCCTGACCTGTATTCTCTGTACCAGCCCCTAGCCTTCTGGACGACGCTAGAGAGAGAGGCTCGGGGGCCTACAGATCATTTAGCTGGAGTGGGACAATTGTTAGCCGAGACTCGTGAGGAGAGGCCGGGCCATCTCGTCTTGACCGGGGAGGTTGAGGAGTATTACCAGCAGGTATATCCAAAGACTGACGATCTTGCGTGGTACGCCAAGGATCGGGATTGGGAGGACTTCGATGACACAGACCCTTGGGGCGACCAGGACGAGGACTGGGGAGATCTGGCACGGGCCGAGGGACAGGAGCAGGTAGGTGGAGAGGCGCCGCAGGAGGACGGTTGGGCACATCTCCTTTAGATCGAGGGACAAGAGGATATTCCATGGGGACAGAGGGTAGATGAGGATACAAACGAAGATATGCCAGATGCATGAGACGACTAGAAGCAGGACATATCCGAGTGAGGTTTAGAGAAGGGAGTAGTGGAGAGTATGGCAGACCAAGATATACTGAGGGTGACTCTTTCCCTACGACGAGATAGGACAGGAGGATGGGAGGATGAAGCGTTGGGCAATGTTGAGCGACAGGTCAGACTCATGACGGGGCATGCCCTGGAGATACGGAGAGGCCAGAGGTACGTCGAATTCACTATCTACTTCCATGGAGTCGACGGGAGACTGCACAACACCTACTCGGCCATACTGGATCTGAGTGGGAGAGTTGTCTGAGGAGTCGGCAACATCGAGAGATAGGGTGCGTCGGAGAGATTAGAGCGCTACAGATCGAGAGCTGGAGAGGAGATGAGGAGTGACTCGGTAGCCTGGTTAGCCTATGTTCTCTCACGAGAGTCCGAATCGTATAGCGTGAGGAAGCTAGTGAGACCCAGAGAGACGGCGGTTGGATATGACATTCCTCTTCCTGTGGCGTTAGAGGGGACAGGGCGTGTTCCGATACGATACCTGGGAACGTGGCTCGCAGAGGGACTCTTCCTTTGGACAGTGATACTGAGAGACGAACGACCTGAGAGGACTCATGATCTAGAAGGGGTCGGACATCTGATAGCGGATAGAGCACACGATTTAGAGGTAGGACTGGCGCTAGCAGGGGCAAGCAGGGCTTGGTGGAGAAGCGAGTCGTTGGCCAGAGTGATCGTCAATCAGCAACTAGCGAGACTCTCTGGAGGGAGGACGCGTTGGAGCCGCTTGGTATACGGTCCTCCGCATCCGACCCTCTACCCGAGAGAGGATTGGAGATTCGGACTTCCTACCTTCGTGATAGGGCAGACCTCTGGGAGTGTAGAACGTTTGAGTAGAGCAGTGGACCACACACTTTACTCGCTCTGGGAGGGCTTAGCGCCCCGTTTCAGGGAAGTATATTACGCCATTTGTGTGAGGTGGGGATCGCCCAGTAGAGAGACGCTTGACGACATCATAGACGTTACTAGCTGGGTGGACTGTCTGAGGCCAGTTGATCTGATTAGGTACTGCAGGAGACGGGCGAAGATCGATTACGTGGGGCTAGAGGATGTGAGGTTTCTCTTCGAGGCCGCAACTTAGGGAATGCCGGGGAGTACGGCCACAGTGATGCGTGTAGGAGAGCAACTGGTAAGCACAGGGTACACTGTGACAGTACTTCTCCGAGCGTACGTAGAAGAGGACTTGACGGCGGGGGAGTGTCGGCAACGAGCCAGAGATTTGATCCACGAGCATAGAGCCGATGTACTGGCTCGGGTGACCTTCCAGACCTCGATTTCCTATGAGGTGATGATATGGTCACATGGCTATATGCGAGCGGAGCACTTCCACGAGGAGACAGTAGCGGAGGCTAGAGCGAGGGTGAGAGGATGAGCTGGAAAGAGATGAGGGCTGAGTATGGAAGAGGAGAGTGAGGCAGTCGAAAGAGTGAGAGAGCGGATTAAAGAACCGCTCTTGAACCAGGTAAAAGGAGTTGGGGAACAAGTTAAGGGAGATCTGGTCGTGCCAGGATGAGGGCAAGTTGCGTAGGGCTGAGTTCGTGACGAGAGAGTTAGAGAGTCTGTTTAGGGAAGAAAGAGAGATTATCCAGGCGTGGAGATCAGACTTTCTGGAGAGGGTAAAGGCTAGAAGCGTATCACACGAAGGAACTAGGGAAGGCTGCAGAGGGCGTGACAACGGAGGACGAGGTAACGCAAGGAGGTAGCGACAGGACATGAGCGGGACTGCACTACACACGACGGATCGGTACTCATTGCATGTGGTTGGGAGACTGGACGGACCATTGGTGTTAGTGATCATAGAGCTCCAGCTCCATACCAGACTGTGCATAGTTGAGGAGGCAGAGTGTGTCCGCCGTGCGCTGCGTGAGGCTAGGGGGACAGGATTTTGGATTGGAATAGAAGGAGGACAAAGGATAAAATACGTACTCCGAGTGACACCTTTTGAAGGGCGGTCTCGGATAAGGGCATGATACGAGACGACCAGGGAGGCTGAGAAGTTGAAGATAAGCGAAGCTAGGAAAGCTGGAGAGCTAGGGAGAGTTGTGACTGACGGTGCAATACTCAGGGTGCTAGCTGCTCACGATCGGTATTGGAGGGAGTCGATAAAGACTTTAGAGGCTATAGAGGATAGAGGAGATGAGGAGGATTTTGAGACATTCTATGACATATTGGAGTTGTCGGCGATGAGGTTACGAGTGGTTATAGCACTTACTTACCTCAGGTGCTAGACAAATGACCTCATAGTCGTCTGGGAGTTAAAGGAGGAGAAAAAAAGATTGGAAGCTCTTGGAAGGATAGTGGAAGCTAAAAAGGGCGACGAGCGACTTTGGATGGCAGTAGGAGGTGAGCTTCCTCCTTTAGCAGGTTACCCGATTCAGGATGGGCTAGGAGACCTAGCAAGGAGGACGGAGATAGACGCACGGAGGCTCTTGAGGGGTGCTGATCAGGAGACACTGGTTAGGCTTGGGACCGCGATCTGCCGCAGGAGTAGAGATCCTGTCACGGGTGTACTGCAGATCCGGAGAGGCGCGGCCTTGTTGGCTGATCCCGAAGGAGAGGTTTACCTAGACACAGGGATTCTTGGGATAGAGAGAGAGCACGAGATCCGCGACCGGAGAGGGGTAATGGTGGTGGTAATCGGGGCAGTCAAGAGCTAGGACTGGAGGTGGACGCGAACCGTGACAAGAAAATAGGTCCGGGCTGCAGCAACTGTAATAGGTCCGGGCTGTAACACCCGGCGAGGGTACCTAACTGTGCCTTCTGGTGGCCTATGGAACCAGACACGATGGGGCCGCAACAGACCACGATCGAAACAGGAGAGAAGTACAGGACATCGCCCGACCGAACACTGAGGGATCTGAAGGAAAGGATTAGGCGGGAAGCACCGCTGAGATGGGTTGACCAAACCAATGACGGAGAGTCCGGCGTAATGGGTGAGTCGGTCGTGACAGAGCCGCAGGAGGCTCTGAAGACAGGAACCTCGAGCGGCCGACGAGAAGCGACGAGACGACACTCCCCCGAGTATGAGCGGAGGGAAACCATGACGGATAGGCACAGGGACGACTGGTGAGAGAGTTTGAGGGACTCTTATTGGAGGGACAAAGATAGAGATAGAGCACCGCCGCGGCGTGTCTTCGACCCCCAAACGGGGGAATCACACCCGCTCCCTTACGAGAGCAAGGATCGCTATATTATTACGCACAAGGCCTCAGAGCCTCCTACTTTCAGGGGCTATGACATTACAAAATATCTGGAGAAGTCAGAGCTTCACGCTAGCCGGAGTCAGTGGTCGAAGGAAGAGATTATAGAGAACTTCCTATTTAATGTGGACCCAAGTCTAGGCAAGGAAGTTAAGGAAGCTCGACCGAAGGATGGGAAATGGACTACGTACAAGAAGAACCTCGTTGAGCCTTACAAATTGGAGGATAACAAGTACTCCATCAAGGACCTTGAGACAATGACTCAAGATGAAAACGAGAGCGTGCGGGCATTTGGGATGCGTTTCCAGAAGATCTCCGACGTGCTGATTAAGAAGGGGAAGATCTCAGAGGTCGAGCGCTGTACTGTCTTCATTGGACACCTGTCCAAAGGTAGGCAGAAGAGTATACTTAGAGATCTTCCGCGCGACAAGTTTGACTTCCCAGAAGTTCTGAAGCTCGCGATAAAGGCAGAGGCGGACGACTACAAGGACTTGGTCTGGAGGAGGATGAGGAGACGTGACTTCCCTCTCTACAAGGAGTATGCCACTGATAGATGTCCTGATTTCAAGGACTATCCCTGGTCGGAGAAAAATGAAGCCGTCGCCTAGGAAATGAAGGAGATAAGGGACATGGTAAAGGGATTGACAAGACAGGTTACAAAGATTGTGATCACCACAGGAGCCACGACATACCGAGACAAGCCCGGAGGACCCTATTCACTTCGCTGGGACCGGAGGAACAATGAATCCTGGAGGAGTGTCGCGGATAGAAATCCTCGAACGCTGACTGATTATCGTGCAAGGGAAAGGGAGAGAGACGATGAGCCATGGCGACATAGGGATGATAAGATAGACCGGGACTGCAGGACCCGCGAGATGTATGGGCATGCTAGGAGACTGAATGACTACTCGCGTAGCCCTCGCTATGAGGCTGACGGGGGTAGAGGCGACTCTCGAGGCCGATGGGAGTTGGATCAGGGCCGACGAGATGGATACAGGGATGGTAGATATGAGAGATCGGACCGCGATGGACGTAGAGACGACAAATACGAGAGGTCAGATCGAGACGGATACAGGGGCGGCAGATATGAGAGAGGAGATCGACCCGATGATTCACGGGGGGGGTACGACCGAGGAGACCGACGTGATGATTCACGAGGGCGATACGACCGAGGAGACCGACGTGATGATTCACGCGGGGGGTACGACCGAGGAGACCGACGTGACGATTCACGCGGGCGATACGACCGAGGAGACCGACGTGATGATTCACGCGGGCGATACGACCGAGGAGACCGACGTGATCATTCACGCGGACGATACGAACACGGAGACCGCCGCAATGATTCGCGCGGCAGGAATGAGAGAGGGGGATATGGCGCGTCGTCTGATCCGTATCCGAAGTCCCCTGACCTTAGAGCAGCGAGAGGTTCGACCTCAAGAGGCACAAACGACAGGCCACCCACTCCCAGGAACTCTTGTGTCTACTGTAGAGGAGATGATCATATCAAGAGAGATTGCCCGGACCTCCAACAAGCCATAGATGAGGGACTTGTCGTGCTTGACGACCACAAGTACGTCAAGTGGGCAGATGATCTGGGAGATGTATCGATGTTCCCTTTGATGAAGGAGAATGTTGAAGCAAGGAGAGTAAAGCCAAGTAAAGGAAAGGAGTCGGTCAGGAGCCAGAGCATCAAGATAACTTTTGAGGGGGATATGGCGACCACACCCATAAGGGTGGCAGCCACCAAGTCGACGAGAGGGTCTACATCGAAGAAGACAGACACGGATTACGTGATGGCAGAGATGGATGGACAACGGATCGATGGAGAGGAGGTTATTCTTTCACCGCGAAAGCGAGGCGTGAAGAAGTTCTTGATGAAGAGTTTGCTGGACGAGATTGACACGGTCGAGCCACTGAGGCGGGCTCTTCGGCAGCCCATGCAGTGCTCTATTCTGGAGTACCTGGCGGCATCGAAGCCGGCTCGCGATGAGTTACAGATGATCACGCGGAAGACTCGCATACCTCTATCGGAGGAGGCAAAGGGGGCCCCTAAGGCAGAAGATCCTACAGTAGCAGTAACGGGGGTGGCTGCCAGAGCGGATCGCATGACAACTGTCCTTCTTGATGGGATGGAAGGTGTGCCTCCAGACAAGTTTTACATACTTGGTAGTGAGTCGTGGAGACAATCATAAACGATGGAGCGGTGCTAGATATTGTGATCGATAACGACAGTGAGGCTGTCATTATAGACGAGGATCTGGCAGTGCACGTTGGACTGGGCCTCGATAGGTCATACCTATTCGAGATAGAGACGGCTGATGGGAGAAAGCAATAGATCACTGGGGTTTGTCACAAGGCAGCCATAGAGGTCCAAGGGGTACGAGTGACCCTGCCTGTCTTTGCAGTCAAGAACTGCAACTCTGATTTGCTCTTGGGACGAACGTGGTTGAGCCACGTGCATGCGGTGACGATAGAGCGACCGGATGGGAGCCAGACATTATCCATTAAGAAGCTAGATGAGACGCGGGTTATGATTGAGACAGTGGACCCTCGGGACCCGAGGAACAGAGCAGCTCTCGCTGTGGGTGCAAGACCCAGTGATCAGATCAAGTCATTACCTATCTCCGGGCGTGCGGTGCGATTTCGCGAGAAGAAGTATGGTCCACTGCTCACAGAGGAAGAAGGTCGGATCGTGGAAGTGGAAGATTTAGGGAGTCGACTGATAGTGGACGGCAACTCGTACCCAAAGGAGACAGATGAGGAATTTGGCGGGGTGGTATCTGTGTTTTTTTTAAGGGCACGGCCCCCTATGGGGGGCTACCCAAGCGACACAAGCGAGTAGCTCAAAAAGTTAAGCCAGCGGCGGTGGGCCGCGAGCGATCTGCACTGGAAGGGATATCGGAAGAAGAGATCGCGAAAGAAATCAAAGAAAGAAAGAAAAAGGAGCCGCAACGCCTAACGGAAGAGAGGATAGCAGGGATGGACATAGGAGATGGGAATCTGACCCCACAGGAGCGAGAACGTGTGATAGAAATCCTGAAGACATGTGATAAGGCAATAGCTTTCAGCGACGCAGAGCGCGGAAGGGTTGACCCTCGATACGCTAAGCCAGCAATGATTTACACGATTCCACATGTTCCTTGGAATGACGCAGGATGGAAATACGCCCAGAAGGAGAAGGAAGAAGTTATCGCTTTCCTGAAGGAAAAGATGGTTTCCCATGTTGCGGAACCGTCTGATAGCGCTTATGCTAATCGATGGTTCTTCCTACGAAAGCCGAATGGAAAGATCCGATGGATCCAGGACCTTCAGAAGGTCAACGTGGTGACGATACGAGACGTGGGCTCCGTGCCACACGCCGATTTACTGGCTGAAGGCGCCGCAGGCGGGACGATTTATTCGGTATGTGATCTGTTCTCAGGCTATGATGAGATACCGCTTGATCCTAGGGACAGGCACCTCACGACTATGCACACGCCGTTGGGACTGATACAGATGATGGTTGTCCCTATGGGTTGGACTAATGGGGTAGCCGTTTTTCAGAGAGCCATGGTAGTCGTCCTCAAGGACTTCATCCGTGATAAGGTTGAAGTCTTTCTGGATGACTTTCCTATAAAAGGGCAAGTAAACAAGGATGAGACAGAGGTTGTACCAGGAGTTAGAAGATTCGTCGAGCAACACCTAACAGATATTTGCGCGGTACTCGAGCAGCCGAACGATGCGAATTTAACGGTCAGCAGAACAAAGAGCCGATGGGCCGTCTCGACTATTAAGATCCTGGGCTTTATCTATGACTCGAGAGGACGCCGAGCAGATCCGGCGAAGTTAGACAAACTCCTGAACTGGSCGTCACCGTTACATAGTCCAACCGAGGTCCGACAGTTTCTGGGAGTGGTCGGTTACTGGCGTATATTCATACGGGGGTATGCGGAGAAGGCTGAGCCATTGAGGTTACTCCTTCGAAAGACTGAAAAATTCTATTGGGATTCCTCGCAGGAACTAGCTATGCAAGAGCTTAGAGACGAATTTAAGGAGGGAGGACGCGTACTGGGCGTGCCATTCTTTGACGATGAGACCGAGAGACCCGTCATAGTATCCACGAATGCTAGACCTTGTTCAGCTGGAGGGCTGCTGTCTGAGAAAGACGCTGAAGGAAAGGAAAGGCCGTTAAGATTTGAGAGTAGGACACTTAATACGGCAGAGCGAAACTACAGTCAATTCAAGAAGGAGGTGTTAGCTGTTTTGCGGTGTCTAGACACGTTCAGACATTATATCTACGGACGACGGTTCATCTTGAGAGTAGATCCCACGGCAAATGCCTCGGTCCTCCAGAAGGACTTTAGTCTGACGGACCCGACCATCGTTCGATGGTTGATACGGATTCGGCTATATGATTACGCAGTCGAGAGGATATCTGACACTTAAAATGCCCTGGCAGATGGGCTTTCGCAGATCCCTTCTGAGGCCGGGCGCCCGATAGTAGCTGGAACCCTGACATTGGCAGAGCCAAGACGCGCTGAACGATTTCTGGTTAACCTTTACGAGGGTAAGTACCGAACGATCGGGCTACACCTGTAAGGAGAGGAGAGTCAAGATTCAGATATCCGGAGACAAGCAGCCCAGTACTGCCTTAGAGCGGGCCACCTTTTTCGAAGGCCAGTAGGGTCGAGGATGCCCTTACGAGTAGTCTGTGACCCTCAGGAGAGACAGACGATAGTCGCGGAGCTTCACGACGGGGTAGTCGGAGGACACAGGGGAGTCAAAGGAACCTACGAAAAGATATGCAGGTTGTACTGGTGGGACGAACAATATAAGGACGTTGAGAGGTACTATATGACCTGCGAGGAATGCCAGAAGAGAGCTCTTGTGAAATACAAAGAGCCTCTCTATCCATCCTATCCCACCAGACCAGGAGAGAAGGTACACATCGATCAGGTGAAGATGCCGAAAGGGGTAGGCAATATGAACTATGTCGTGAACATACGAGACGACTTCACGGGGTTCGTAGACGGTAGACCTATCAGGAGTAAGACGGCAAAGGAAGTGAAGACCTTCGTCCTAGAGTACTTGTCTAGGTATGGTTGTGTCAGCAAGATAGTGATGGACAGAGGGGCGGAATTCCTAGCTGACGAGGTTCAGAGTGTGTTCAAGCGAGTTGGGGCGAAGGTTTCGATAGCCACTGCCTACCACCCACAGTCGAACTCCCCAGTAGAGAGGGGGCACCAGACTCTGATAGCGTCACTATCCAAGTGGTGCAGAGGTAAGGACAATGATTGGCCATGATATTTTCGATACGCAATATGGGCGGACAACGTCACGGTCCGGGCTAGCACTGGATACCCACCATACACCTTGTGGTTTGGGCGGCATTGTCCGCTCCCCATAGAGTTTCACGTCGACAGCTGGACAACCGTCGAATGGGCGGAGGAGATGTCCAGAGAGGAACTCATAGCTGCCCGAACAAGACAGATAGCCTACGGTTTGGAAGATAACCTTATGACAGCGGCGGATCGTCTGGCAGTGGAAAGGGACAAAGGCAAAGAGAGATGGGATAAGAACGTGAAAATCAGGAAAGAGAGGGTGAGCGTAGGAGATATGGTCCTTCTCTACGACGCAGCACTGGAAAGGACCTGAACCGGAAAACTCGCCAACAGATGGATGGGACCTTACAAAGTGGTTGAGGCACTCGACTGGGGTGCATATATGATAGCAGAATTGGACGGATCCAAGTGGAAGGACCCAGTGGCGGGTGCTAGGTTAAAACTGTTTAGACCAAGGCCTGCACCCGCCTTATCGCTGACGGGCCCCAAAGGAAAGGGGAAGGCTAAAATGGAGGATGGAGCTCCCTTGAGATGATTCGAGGCAGGGGAAAGTTCCAAGAAGAGGAAAATAATAGAAAAAAGAAAGGTCAAAGGGTTAGCTTTAGGAAGGGAGAAGAAATGGTTATTCGTGCTCAAGAGGGCTAAACGGAGAGTACGCATTAGACAAACTGGTGGGTCGTCACCTTCCTCAGGCAAGCGTCAGAAGGAGAAGGGGACCCTACCAAGGCAGAGATCCTGGAGAAAGAGGAAAGCCAAGAAGCATCTACTTAGCCCCAGTACTCATAACGAACCAAAACCTAAGACGATTAAACGCCGACGTGGGCGTCCTTTACAAACAATCACCCTGAAGCTCGTCCGCTTCGTTTGAAGAATGGATAGGGCTCGACGGGGGTGTCGAGAAGTGGTCCGGGCTAACTGTCAGGCGGCCACGAGCGGTGCGCCGCCTGAAATCCTCAGCTTTGGGGCTTAGGCTCAGGGGCAAGTCCGTGTTTTGATGGTACTTTGGTTCGACTGGACAACAAAAATTAGGAGAACTTTGGGCACCCCTCACTTTGGGCACACTGGACCTTGCGAGTAGCCCTCAAAGATGACGAAATGGGTAGCCGCTCCCRGCATATCTAGGGACCRTCATTTCCGCCCGTTCCGAGGTTAGACCCGGGATGGCCGGCCGCGGGGAGGAATCGCAGGGATTGACCTCGCCGCCACGTTTTAGTATCATATGACTGGGCCCGAAATAGGGCCTCAAGATTTTATCTATTTTAGCACCGAAATTAAGAATGAGAGAAAAGAATTAGAACAGTAGGAGGGAGGAGAAAAAAATGTAATATTCCTTAATTACCTTATTTTTTCACGGCATCTAAATTTTAGGGAAAATCCCTCGTTATTTTATGTCACCGGTAATGAAATCAAAAATAGAGAAAAAGATTAAAAACGATAAAAAGGAGGAGATACAAAAGAATTTCGACTATTTAATTAAGACTCCCTCGGGATTCATTTTTGGTGGACTCACGTATATTCTGCTATTTCGGACTCTAGAATTAAGAAAGGGAGGGAATAATTAAAAATGCTGGGACAGACAGGAACTAATGACTACTCGACGCCTGGCCTGGTACTGCTTGGATTACCCACCATCAGCACAGAACCCAGATTTGATCAGAAACTCTGAACTCTAACTTCTTCTCACTAACCTCTGATGATCGAGAATTTTATGTGTCGCCTTCCCGATCTGCCTGATAACTAACCTCACTGAGCAGTCCAAGGATGTTCGCATGGACGACGTGGAATGGAGCTACTTTGGACCGACAGTATGTGTGGTGTTTGGCTCGGAACGGATACATGACTCAGAGAACGTCAGATTGATGTGGAGTGGCAGCATCCTACGGTATCTGACCGGCTTCTGAATCGGTATGGGGCAGGCATCACCTTGTCCCGAGCTTGGGACCCCTACAACGGTCGCTATTTTCTGGTTCGGACACATCAACATGATTCAATATCAGGTTCGGAGCAACCTCAGCAGGGTATTTCAGTTTCGGCGGCATCGGGGCATTTTATCTCAGGTTTGGGCCTTCGCCGTGATTTCCACGACGACACCAGTCCGATTTATTGGCAGGGTTAGGACCATTTCAGCGGCCTATTTCGAATTCGGCACCGGTATGGCCGTTTATTTCGAGTTCGGGACGACTGCGGAGGTTTATCTCTACGACTGGGACCGCTACTGGCATTTATCTCAGCTTCGAATGTCGCTACCATGATCCATTGTCAGGTCCGGGAACACTACGACGATTTGTTTCAGGTTCGGTACCTCGGCGGCAGTTTAACCCAGGTTCGCTGCAAGCGCGGCATTTTATTTCGGGTTGGACACAACCCTGACAGCTTATTTCCGCTACGATACCGCTACGACAATTTATTTCGGTTTCGGGACCGTCACGGAATTAACGGAGATTTGTTCCAGGTCTGGTACTGGTTCGACATCGACTTACTACGAGTTCCGCATTGACCCGACATCGACTTACCACGAGCATGGTAGTGGTTCGGTGACAGGAAAGGCACAGGCCATGGCACTTCATGACGAGAGTCTCCAGGCTCGACATCGGCTCGACATTCGGTAGGCCACAGGTTTGGTGCTAGAGGGTGGCCATACTCTATGGCGTGCGGCATTGAGTGCGTAAGGATTGGTACCGAGATGGATATTCCCGGTTCAGTTTTGGCCTGTTACGGGCTGCTATGCTGCGGTACAATAGTGCCTTCGCGAAGGATCTGATGGGGGCCACATTGGTACGGGGTCGTCTTCGGTTCGGGTGCTGCGCTCTCGGGTAACTATAATTGGAACAGTCTGAGCGGTCCGCGACTATCCTCTGGTCTTGGGGGGTAATTCCGTGTGACTGCCTTGGACCCGCCACGGTGCAGGGTACGAACGGCGGCGAGGCTCCATGTCACCGAAGTTGGACTGAACGGGGATGGGGACCTGGTGCTACGAAAACTGTCGTTCCGACATCGGGGCGAGGCGCTGAACTTGCACGCCACGACACAGGCTGGATCGATAGAGGCCGCAAGTCGGATTCTGAGTTGAGTTCTGCCAGCGGGAACTGGGGGGATATAGTCATCGAGGAAAACTCAATAGGGGAAGCGAGCAAGGTGTACCCCCAGCTGTAAGGACCGGGCAGACGCGCGAGTGCGGGGGTGGTTACTCCGCGCAAGAAGGGAGAGATAGGAGTGAGGGATCGCATGCCAGCCGTACCCGGCGTGCAGCTGTTGCGGAGCACTGCAAGGACGGGGCWGAARCGTCCGCGCCCAGGTGGTTGTAAYAGCCAGGGAAGAAGTGGCCCAGRGTGAATGACAGTGCCCGGGGAGCATATGGGGAGGCGTTCGCACAGAGAGGGGGGCAGCGYGCAAGGTGTTCGCAGTAGACGAGCGGTTGAGTGACTCCCGTGCCCGCATGTGYGGTGGTGAGGGAAAGGAATGGATGAGGCGCGTGCAACGAGGACGCGACGGACRGGGAGATCCAGGAGTTGACCTCGCCAATATGAGCGCGCTCCAAACACGGAACTGACGGGACTGAGACGCGGGCGCCACAGACGCAAAGACGAGAGCAACGGGTCCGTGAGACGAGTGGATGGAGAGTGAGAGAGAGAGAGGGAGTAAAGGCAGTGAGAAGAGTAGGCGAGGGTGAAACGACAGTCAGGGAGGTGGAAAGCATTCAGTTCACATTGCGATTCGATGCAGGCGAGGAATGGCGCGCTGGGGGCGTGTAATTTGCGGACAGTTCAAAATGAGAAAAGATTGGAAGTGTGCTCAGGGGAGTGAGTTTGAAATGACGAGCGCACGCTTGGGCTTTGAGCAGAGTCCGGGTGGACGGTTGACGGGGTGAATAGAGARAGCTTGGTGTCGGCAGTCTGAGGATCGMCACTAAGGATCGGACCATTTTGGTGAGAGGCGGGAAATCGGTATGTGCACGATGTTCCAGAAAGTCCTCACTCTGTTCGTAACGGACGTGCAGAACGCAGGTAATTCGACTACACAGAGAGCATTGTGGGCGGCCTTCGAGGTAAGGAGGGAAGACCTGCCTTGAGAAGCGGGTTGTATTCAMGCARACTTATYATGCTCGTTTCTCTCTGGTCTAGTTAAGTGCGATCACCTGCCCTGAGAAGCGGGTTGTGTTCACGCAGATTGTTGGGGTTTATCAAGGCCGTTTCTGTCTTGTCTAATTAAGTGCATTCACCTGCCCTGAGAAGCGGGCAGTATTCGAGTAGATTATTGGGGCTTTTCAGGCCCGTTTCTCTCTTGACCAATTAAGTGCATTCACCTGCCCTGAGAAGTGGGTTGAATTCACGCAGTTTTGTTGGGGCTTATCAAGGTCCCTTCTGTTCTGTTTCGTTAAGTACACAATGTGCCCCAAGCAGCGGGCTGAATACATGCGAATAGCAGGGGGCTGATATGTCCGTCTTCCCTTCTGTACAGTTAAGCGCATTAATCTGGCCAGAGGGATGGGGCGAATACAAGCAGAAATAGGGGCTCGAAATGCCGAGGATGTCTTGTGAACAGCGGGATAAAGAGAGAAAGGGAACAGCGCGCTAAAAGTCATCTATTAAACTCTCTGTCGCGCACTTTTGTCCGTCCTCCTGCCGAGTCTTCAGACTTAATGTAGTGTGAACATGTTAAACTGACAGTTGAGAGCGCAAACTGGCTGTAGTGTCCCCCACTGGACTAATGAGCAGACTACTCAAACTTATCACATTGAGGATATGAAGGTCTTTCGGTGGAGTTTCTGAACTGCCAGCTGAATCAGTTCGATGATCTGTTGAGTCGTTCGTTTGAACTTATTGAAGTAAGAACTCGCTGCACTGACTGTTGGCTGATCCAATTTGTTGTAAGGTGATCTTGCGAATTTACCAAAAGGAAAATAAGTAAAACGGAAAACAGGGAATGAAACAGTTCATCA